GGTGTGTGTGTCTCTCTGTTGTGTGTTTAAGGCCTGGTCAGTTGGAGATGCATTCTGAGGTATTTTCCTGAGGAATATACACTTCTACATGAGGCACATTCACAAGTGAAGTAGAGTTTGCTTTAATGTGCTGGGGGCAGGGAGAGTGTATGGGGGATATGTAAAACAGGATAATTGTTGAAGCACAGTAATTGATATGTGGGGGTTTATTTTTCTATTCTCCACACTTTTAGACTGTGTACCTCAATGTCCTCTAAAAAGCTACAGTCCTGCATATAGCTGCAATCTAAAAGCCCTTTTTTCCCCCTCAACAAATCAAGGCACAAAAGCGACTGCCAACCCCAGCAGGATCTGTCATGCCAAAGCCTCGTGCCCTACAGACTCACCTGCTTGGGAGATAATTTCTGCTTCTCTTGCTTCCACTGGCTTATCTGGGGCTTTGGCTTTTTGGGAGGGAGAGACTTCACTTTGCCTTTGTCCCGCAACCTGAAACAATATGGTGAAGTGTCACCCCCAAGTTCTTCCTCTAATTGGCACCCCGAGGTTCTCTCAGCAGGGAAAGTAAAATGCCTTTTCTTACACTGGATTTTTCTAAAACCATGATAAGTCATTCTAAATAGGGATACTGCACCAGAATGCCCTAAGGCTCGCCATTTGTACATTTGTTTTGGTTTAAAACTTCAAGAGAATCTCAAAAAAAACCTTCATTTAACAAATATTTTTTTAAACATCAACTTTTGTTCATAGCACTAGTCTGTTGCCCCAAACACAAATTGCAGGGGAGCCTCCAGTAGGTGGGCCTCAGCTGAGACAACCATCAGGACAGGAGGAAGCTCTTCAGAAAAGGGGGAAAATGGCATGAAAGTCTGCCCTGGAAGGCTCCTCAGTGGCCCCCTCTACCAGTTCTGTTCTGGCTTCCATGTGGTCCAGGAATAACACCTCTGCTTGTGCTTTGGGACTGGCACAGCACTGAGCATCCCTGTCATCCAAACAAAAGCCACAAAGAGGAAAAGAGCTAAGCAAAAACAAACCTTCTCAAAGCCATCCACTGTTCTATGCCATCGTCCTGCATCTCACCTAATTTTTGGGCCTCGGTGTGAGGGTAGCGCCAGGACCTTTCTTCTCTTCTTTCCATCAGGTAACTCCACCTGCTCCACTTCGGCCTTGGTCTGGAATCCTGTCCATGAGATAGTGCCCGCCTTCCCCTTTTGCTCCTGTGTGTGGTTTTGAGCTGCTTTGTGTTGGTCTTTTCCAAGCTGCTTTCTGTTGCTGGTCTTTGCTTTCAGTTGCTCTTGCTGGGGCCCACCAGTTGTGGACTTGGATTTCATTTTTTGCTGCATAAAACAAGAGACCATCATTTGGTTTCTGGATGAGGTTTATGTGTTGGAAATACTCAGCACAAAAGCAGCTTTATGTGAAGTTGGTGAAGAAAGAGGAATTCTTCCCACTAAAAGATAGAGACTTCAGGAAAGTGAATACAAGTGGTTCACAGGCCCTAATATAGTAACAAATGGTTACTGGGTGGGGGCACAAAATAAACATTTTCCTTTCTATATGCAGAAACAGAGAGAAAAGTACATGCATGCAAAAGACTTAAAAGCCAGTGGGGGGGGGGGG